CCTGTGGCACGCCAGGGGCTGAGCACCGGCACGGCTCGCTGCCTTTGCCTCCAGACGAGCCTCCCGCGCGAGCCAGGCTGTGGCGGGACCCCCGGCACGGCGCGGCAGGGGGACTGCGGGTGCCCACGGGTGCCCACGGGTGCTGCCTGCAGCGGGGCAGGTCTGCGCGGCTCCTGGCTGCGTGGCATGCTGGCGAGGGGATGACTCACTGGCGCGGTGAGGGGGAAGGTGTGATAAACCAACACCGTGGGCTTTTTTAAAAAGGCTTGCGAAGTGGGGGGGGACGCAGCCTGAATAGCAATCAGCTCTTACAGGCACACTGGGAAGAGACAGAGCTGAGCAAGAGCCCGGGTTGAGAGAGCTCAGGGAGAGCTGGGGAGAACGGGGACGACACGGTGCTGGCGGGATGCGGGGTGAGGGGCTGAGTGAGAGCTATAGGGGGAGAACCTGTGGGTCAGGATGACGGTTGGGCGCCCACAGGGTGTGAAAAGGGACCCCAACACCATGGTGGATGCAAAAGCATGAGTGGGGCACAGGGTTGGGGCCGCGGCAGCGTGAGCCGGCGGCACCCACCGCATTGCCCCCAGCCCGCGTGCACGGCCCTGATAGCGGGCGGGGGGTCATGTGTACGGGCAGATACGGGGCCCGGATGGCGCGTGGTGGTGACCATTTCCCGCGAGGGTTGGTGCCGGTTGCTCTCATCTGACCTCAGTGAGCATCTTATCTGCTGGAGCGCGCCGTGCCAGGCCCCGGTGCCTCGGGGAGCCCCTTTGCCTGGGGCAGGTCCTTAGCTGCTCCCCGAGCCTCCCCGCTTGCAGTCTCTCCCCACGCACACCCAGCAGAGATGAAGGACATGGGACATGGGTCCCGTGAGCGGGAATGATGGGTGACAGTACCAGCATCCTCCCATGGGACCAAGACACCCGTGGGGGCTGCGCTGGTGGGAATGAGGAGGACAGGCAGCGGCGGGCGCAGGGTAGGATGTACAGCGGCAGGAGATGCCGGCTCCTGAAAACAAAGGGAGCGTGAATTGCCATAACATGTGCAGTTAATCCCCGCGCCGGGCTGTTGCACGCTGCGCCATCAATCACGCGCCGGCGTGACCGACACCGAGTCATTACAGGAGTTTCCACCCTCTCTGCTGGGTGGGAACCCGGCAGGGCCTCATCCTGCCCCGGCTCCAGATTTGCTGGGGGACGGATTGCCAGGCCCTGGGCTGGGACGGATCCAGGCAGGCTATCGGGCCCTGGCAGGCGCTTATCTCCCGGCCCGGCCGTTGCTTTCCCACCGCAGTGAAGCGGGGCCATCGGCTCCGACGAAGTGGGGCTGGTCCCACCATCTGCCCTGCTGCGCCGCATCTGTCCCGTGTCTCCAGGGAGCTGATGGATCAGGGATATTTCCCCACCCCAGGGATGCCAGATCCCCCACCTCTCTATCCCCATCCATGGGACCCACACGTGACAGCGGATGCGTGGCCGTGGGGCCATGTGGCAGCACCAGCCAGCAGCCACCAGCCCGGGCTGGGCAGGGAGTGGGCTTGGGGGGGGGGTGGGACGACCACGAAAGGGTTAACCGGGGGAAGTTTGCTCACTCTCGGCAATGATTTAAACCAGACAGAAAGGTTCTGTCATCCATCACGCTAACAGCCAGATCATTGTGTTTTAAAGTGTCTGTAATTGCAGCAATACGGGGACTGGGAGAAAGATAAAGGCTGGGAAGATGCAAATGGGGAGGGGAGGCACCAGTCCCCCCACCACCACCCAGCAGGGAGAAACCCGGGGAGCCCTGGGGCCAGTCCTGCCCGGGCTGGTGGCTGAGCGGGGACAGGGATGGGGACAGGGATGGGGACAGCCAGAGGTGGCCCAGGCGTCCTCCTGCCTGCTTCTGCTTGGCTACGGCACAGGGTGGGTGCTGGGGCATCCCGGCTGCAGGTGGGAGCACCCAGAAAAGAGCACAAGCAAATAAAAGCAGGGATGGGCACAGGACTGGAAGGGTCCAGAGCAGGTGCTGGACGCAGCCTGCTTTACTCTAAATATTACCTTTACATTACCCCTATCTTGCGGCAATTCCCTCGTCATCGCTGACTTAGTTCTAAGTGGCATTTCTCTCCCCATCTCTTCTCTGTTGGGATCCAGGGATCCCCGGGACAGCGTGTGAAGGATGCTGAGATCCTACCCAAAGCGTGAGAGGAGGTGGCCACGGCCATGGGTGCCTGGGCTTTGTCCCAGCGGCCGAGGCCACGTGCGAGCGTGCCAGCAGGGAATTATTAACATTCAGACGAGGCCCGCCGAATAAAGCGAGCTAACACAAATGTTTATTTTCACAGTAGTGAATTATGACTTCAATAGACCAAAATTACAGGCTGCGCACGCGGAATAGAAACGAAGCAGACCCTGCCACCCAAACGCTGCCGGGGAGGGCGCGGCGTGGCTCCCTCCTGCCCACGCTGTCCCGTGCGTGCGGCAGTGCCGCTGCCTGCCCATCCTGCCGGTGGACGGGCAGCTCTTGCCTGCACGGTGGCCCCGGCAGGGCGGCTCTGCCGGGCTCCATCCACCTTCGCTGCAACGACCCCGTGGGCTCACAGCCACCCGGCTCAGCCTCAGCTCGACCCCCTTGGCTGATGCCAGGTATTTGATGGCATCCTTCATCTATACCCCAAATTAAGCAGGAGCCGGAGAGCCAGAGAGGTTGCGGCTTTTCCCGGCAGGTCCCCGCGTGGTGCCCACAGGCAGGGTGTCGGCAGGTCCATGGGGTTTGCAATGTATTCAATGGCTTGTGCTGCGTTGGGGTGGATGTGTGGGACAGCCCATCTGGCTAAAAGCATGGTCACCCCCATGGTCAGGTCCGGGCTCTCCCACTGAGTGGCCAGAGCGCAAAGGAGCCCTGTGCTCGCACCCCAGAATACCAGGGTTCTGTGTTGGGAGCGCTCTTGGACTGCCTCGGTGGTGGCTGATGTTCTGCCATGCCTCGACGTGTGCGCCGGTGGGGACTGTGCCGTGCACCACGTGTCCAAACGCACATGCACCGCCGGCATTTGCATGTGCCAGCCGGTGCTGCCTATGCAAAGCCGGGGGGGCGGCGGGACGGGCATGCAGCTGTGCGCGGGGGCGGATTTTCCTCCACTGCACATGGGCCCTTGCCAGTGGGGCCGTGACACTCACCCGCAAGAGGATCCTTGAGAAAGGCCCCTTGGGGAATGAGGGCAGCGCAGAGAGGGGCAGGAATGGGGACAACCCCAGTGCTTCAGGCTGGGAAATGCAGGCAGGGCAGGCAGGGCAGGCAGGGTGCTCAGTAGCAGGGTGTGTGATTCTGCACAGCGTGTGCACACTGTGCCAACCGGTGTAGGTACAGAAACTTCTGGGGTGAGCACAGACCTGCTCATCCCACCAAAGCAGGGAAATGCTCTGAGCCCCCCCGCTGTTGGGCCGAGCCACCGTGAGAACGGCAGGGAAGGACGCATCAGCTCTTGGGGGGAGCAAGGGGGGGCTAAACCAGAGCTGGAGGTCAGGATGGAGGGGGCTGGGTTGGGGTGCTGCAGCATCATCCCACTACAACCCTGTCAGTGGGGTGACGTGGGGGGAGCTTGGCTGTACAGCGACCATGCAGTGGCCATTTAGTGGCCGTGCAGTGGTCACGCAGTGGCCATGCAACGGTCACTTACTGGCCATGCAAAGGTCACGCAGGGGCCATGCAGCAGGTATGTCATGGCTGTGCAATGGCCGTGCGGTGCCAATGCAGTGACCACGCAGTGGCGATGCGTCGGTCATGCCAGGGCCATGAACTGGCCGTGCATGGTTCTGCAGCGGTGGTGCCACCCAACACTCTGGCAGCGGTTACTCACTGCCTGGCAGAGCTGCCACGGTTCCCAGCGCCTGAGCCCTGGGAAGCAGGCGAGGATGAGCAACACAACAACCATACGGGTGGCAAAGGCTCCGCACAGCAACTCGCAGAGAGAAGGCAGCTGCCAAGCAGAGTAATTACGCAAAGAGGCAGGGCTTCGGCTTGCAGGGAAATTAGCAGGGCTTGCATTACCCAGCGCAGAAGCAAGCAACAACATCGTAGTAGGACTTGGGGGTGTGTGGAATTTTTAATGTTCCCCCCCCCAGCTGGCACAGGGCATGCGGGAAGGGCACGCTGGGGACCCGGCGTGGGCAGGCAGCGCCGCAAACGCGTGCACCGCTGCCGTGCACCGCTGTAAAGGAAGGGCCCCGCTGGCATTTCTGTGGTGCCGGTGCCACGCAGCCACCTTAGGGAGCCCTGCCAAGGCCGAGCCAGGTGGGGGACACCCCGAGGCCGGGCTGGGACCAGCATGTGGACCATGGGGTGCAGATGGAGAGATGGAGGCTGTGCCCACGGGGCTTGCTGTGCACTGATGTTGCGGCTGCGCGTGTGACTGCTCCTATTGCAACCCTGGCCCTTGGGCTTCCGGAGGGGGAAGCAGAGCAACCACAACTCCAGCCCCCCCCCGGCCCCCCAGCCCCTTGCACACACCCCCACCCT